TACCAAAAGAATGATCAGGACCCATCTTCTGTTCATGCACACAACATTATGTAACGAACTTGATAAAAAGCACATGAGTTACAGTTAAATAAAATGCATACAAACTGCAGAAAGTACTGCAAAGGCCTTTGACGTATTAATGAATATCAAAATAATTTTGTCCAGACCAGACAAATACTTACATGTATATATTAACCTCCAAGCAACTAAAACCCACATATAAAATTTTTGATAGGTCTATTTGACCCACTTGAAAATTCAACAATGCCTCAGCTCCAGCATTCGAGAAATTCTTATCATCTCATACTCAATTTTTCAAGATTACGACATCACATTGCCATTAAATCAAGTTTAATGGCACAACATCTCCGAATTTGATAACAGATCCGCATCCAGTAACAGTTTATTCCAAACCCAACCAACAAAAGGCAGTCACATTCATTTAAGATCTAATATCTAGCACACGAATCATGAATTTTTTTTATTTTTTTTTTTTTAAATCCTAAGGAAACCCCAAGTCAAACTCAGAAGACGATAGTCAAACAAACCAAACAATCATACGAAAACCTAAATTCAACAGTCGGATCGAGAAATTGAAATCAAAACGAAAGGTCAAATCAGATCAACGGAAAGCTGTACTCACTGAATCCATCCTCGACAAGGTAGTTGAAGGTGTGGCCATCGCAGTTGTAAGTGAACTTATTGTTGGAGGCGGGGAGTTTCTGAAGGCACTGTGCGGCGATTCCGGTGAAATTGCCGGTGAACTCGGTGTACTCGGCGAGGATCACCGTCCCCCGCGCCACGAAGCTGTAGATCAACGATTGCTGTCCCATTTGTGTTTCCCCTTTCTCCCTCGATTGAACCCTAGACGAAGCCTCTATCTAACTGTGCAGAACCTCTGGAGAGAGAGGTAGAGAGAGTAAACGAAGGTAATAAAATAAGCAGTGAAAGCAAATGAGGAGGAAAGCAGTACTTTTATGGCTATGGTTTGTTGAGGAGAGTACAGAGAGAGAAAGTGGGCAACATTTGGAAAATGGAAGAGGGGAGCGTGACGATAAACAATCTTAATTTAAATTTATTTTAGACTTAATTGGTTTTAATACTTACGACAAAAAAAAAATAAAAAAATAAAAAAAAAATAAACTTACGACAAATAATAAAATATATATATATATATATATATATTTAGATTATTTTAAACAAAAAATGTTTGAATGTTAATTTTTTTTTAATAAAAAAAAATAGTTTTTAGAATTTGAATAGGTATAAAAATAATGATTAAACAGGACCATAAAATGAAACGAGTCACTCATGAGCTCGGCTCGTTAAGACTCGAGTTCGACTTGATAAGGCACGAATATAGATTTTTTAATATAATTATTTATAATTCGACTCGTTAAAACTCAAGATCGGGTCGCTAATGTTAGAAGTCGGCTCTTAATATGGATAAATGAACCCGATTTCTGATTCGCTTACTTAACAAGTTGAACCAGACTCAACTCATTAAGGGATCAAGCTCGAGCTTGAGCACCCTGATTTTAAGCTCGACTCAACTCATTTATAACCCTAATTAGAATTGATGTGAGAGAAAACAAAAACAAAATAATAAATGTAAATGATTGATAGTTAAAGAAAATGATAATGAATTAGTGTTAGTTTACGTTTGGAAAAGTCTATTTCTTATATGGACTTGTGCAAAATACTTCATCAAAAGTCTCAATCATTTACTTCTATATAGAAATGACTTTTTTGGGAGAAATCGCGAGCGGTTCACTCTATCTCTCTCTCTAGAAAACCAAAATCCCCAAATTCGTCGTGCCCTAGCTCTTCTGCCTCCATCTTCGCGTGTCTCCCCTCTAGAGGCCCTTGGCCTCGCGAATCCGGCGAGCATCTGGCTCGCCCTTGGCTTGTTGGTGCGGCTGCAGTGGCTTCGCGTCGCTCCACCCCAGAAGTGGTCCCACTCTTTCCCCGAAGCGCCATGACCGGGTGATTGAGGCGGGTTGCGGTCGGTGTCGTGTCCAACGGTCACCATTGACGCCTTTGTGGAGGTCTTCGACGGAGGTCAGGCCTTGGTTTCCCTCTTACCCGACTTTCCCTGGTGTTGGTCAGGTTGGGTCCTCCGTCGGCGGCAGTGATGTTTTGGCGGCTGCGGAGTGTGCTTGGGGGAACTGTAGTGGTGTACCAGCCTGGGCGGATCTGCGGTCTCGGATGGAGGTTTCATATTTGTGGTCCGGCCCTGGTTAGCCCATTTGGGAAATTGTCGGGTCTTTCGGGTTGGGCTGAAGATCTTGAGGTCTCTTTTCGATCGGTCGCTTATCTGGATGTTCGTTAGGTTGTGTTTGGCGTTGGGTTCGTGTTCCAGCAGGGGAATGCTGTTACACAACGTGTTTAGTATTACAACGGGAACCTATGAACTGACTGAAGTGTTCAGTTCGTACAAAAGAACTAAAACAAAAAATGAAATTACAACTCGAACGCGGAGAGATTTGAGCCGAGGCGATTGAAATCTATCCGCAAGACAAATACGCCCCGTGTAGTGCT